TAATTGAAGTCATTTCCTTTGTAATCACATTGAGCATCACTTAAGAACCTTGTAGGATCAAACTGAAGAGGACTGTGCCAAATCGAAGGGTCTCTGTGTATTGCCCACATGTTCACAAGCACACGAGAGCCTTTTGGGATTGTGTAGTTTCCTACAACGGTGCTTTCACTTGGACTATGAGGAAGTAATAGTGGAACAATAGGGTGTAACCTTAAAGTTTCTTTCATGACAGCATGCAAGTAAGGTAGATTATGAATATGTGACTCTTGAACCATGTTGTTCTTTCCCACTACGTTATCCAATTCTTCTTGAACTCTTCTCATCACCTCTGGTTTGCTCATCATATGGGCCATTGCAAACTCGATTGTATTAGAGGATGTGTCGGTTCCACCTATCACCATATTCTGTTCATAGTAAAGTAATTAATAAATATTAGTAACCGATAATTTTAGGAAGAATTACTGTGAAGTTTCAAGAAAAAAAAAAGTCATCCAAAAATTGTAATGATAAGTGAAGTTATCATTTTTTTTTTTGGGTGAAAGAAGTCATCATTTTTTATCTTGAAACTTGTTAGTATAAACTGTTGTGTTATTATTAAGACTTCTTAATAATTATGTTCCTTCATCGAGACTTTATAGAAATTCTTTCATAATTTTATATGAATTTTATTAGTATTACTTAATTAGTAAATCTTTCAAAAAGAGTTATGCAGAGAAGAAAAGGAAAATTTAATTCATTAGTCTTTTTTTTAAATACAAATTCGTTAGTCCTCTTAGTTTCATTTTTTTTTAATTTTTAATCACACCCGGTAGTAATTTGTATTGTTTGCTTATAATTTTTTGAATCATACCTATTGGTTTCTAATTATATTTTAATTAGAGCTTATATAAATGCTGATTAAGTGGCATGTAAATTGACATAAAATAGACAACAAAAACGATTTTTTTTTCCAAAATGATGAAATACAATATACTCATTATTAACGTAAAAATAAAAAAAATGTACTAATAACCATCCTTTTTTTTTTTTTGGGAAACACTAATAACCATCTACTAGTATATATCTAATCTGTAATCTAAATGATTTTAATTTTATTTAGAATTTTAGTTTTAATATTTGTCTAATAATTATCAACTACCGTCTACCGGGTATATACTAAGTGTCAGCCATATTATCAGCTACGAACATTTTTCGTTATAAATCAATAAATTGTGACCATAGAGACTAATACCTATAATTTCGAAAATTGTAGGGACATAATAAAAAGAAAAGAAAATTACAAAAACTTAATTAAAATTACATAAAATTATAAAGAGTTATGAATTAATTTTTCCCAAAAAATGAAAAATATGTCTTGTTCAGTAAAATTAATAATAAAGTGATATGCATGCGTGTGTATTGAAAATAATCTATATTGTTTGAATAAATAAGTTATATTTGTTTAATGCTAAAGTACATATTTAATTTTTTAACTTACCATGGGGTTTCAATTTGGCATAAATTTAAAAAGTATATTTTTAGTCCCTTAATCATAAAATAATTAACAAAACATAATGATATTGTGATATTTAATGTTGATAAATCATTCTTAGATACTAACAAATTAAATTAAATTTTCAAAACAACTATAATCGTTACAAAAAAATATTATTTAAGCCCAAAAATTTTGGGATTAAATTACAGAAAATATAATTTTTAAAATTAAGTGACAAAATTGAAACCCCATATAAAATTAAAGGAGCAGTTGGCAAAAAAATGAAAAAAAACGGAGCGAATGTATTTTACTTTTAAAAAAAATTGAAGGTTGAAAGAGAGATACCACGAGGAGGGCTTTAACGTTGTTAATGGTAAGTGGCGTCTTATTAGAATCCGGTTCATCCTTCATTTTCAACAAGAAGTCCAAGAAATCCTTACTTTCTTCTCCTTCGCTTCCAGTTTCCTTATTCGTCTTCATGACCTTCTGTCTCTGCTCGATCATCTTCTCGAAAATCTGATCAAACCGTCGAACCAACAAACGCATATGTTTCTCCACACCTTGCAAATCAAGCCAAGCCAGCCAAGGAAAGAAGTCTGACACGTTAGGCTTCCCAACTAGCTGCATCACTTGGGTCATCAATTCTCTGAATTCCCCTCCCATTACAGTGCTTTCATCCCCTTCCACTGTCCCGCCCCAAATACTAGTTGTGTTCATGTTCAATACCATCACAAACATTTGCTCCCCAATATCCACCGGCAACCCGACCCGACTGTAGAGATAGCCCACGGTTTTTCGTATTTCTTGATTGCGACGAGCATATGGACGGAACCCAAGGCGGTGCTTCTTAATATCCATTGCAGAAGCACTTTTCTCAACATTCGCCACTCAGATCCATAAGGGGAAAACGCTACGTCGCATCCGCCGTAGGTCACGACCCTACCGGCGATTGGAACGTCACGGTTGGCGAAAATGATGTCATGGTCTCTAAGCACTTGATGAGCCACTGAAGGGGAGGACACGACGACGCAATGTTTGGTTCCGAGTCGGAGCGAGAAGACGGGACCGTAGGTTTGAGCTAAAGTGGCGAAGTATTTGTGAAGCTCAAAATCGAGGGATAGAAGATTGCCGATCAAAGGGAGCCTTGGTGGACCTGGTGGACCTGGTGGACCTGGAGGTGTGTTGCGATCGCCGTGTTTGATAAAGCAGATCCATGCATACCAAGAAATTGTGAAAATTCCCCAGAAAGCAAGAAACACAACTGTGAAAGTATCAAACTGGTTTATGGAATCCATCAGATTTTGAGTGAAAGCTGGTAGAGATATCATTCTTAATATTTAGATTTCTGAAGCAAGAAGGATAACCAAAAGAGCTTCATATATAGAAGGATAAGCCCTAGCTACCTTCCAACGACCTAGTTTATCGTCTTTCATCATCCTAGTCTGCTTTGTTTTACTGGTTGTGAGAGATTCCGTGCACGAGATGCAATTAATTAAAATTCTTTTTAAAAATAATTGAATCAGAATAAATATACAATGCGTGCACGTCTAAATAGGCGAGTGAAGACACAGTTTCCCTTGAGATATTTTTTCTTCATCTCTAAATTTTAGTATTTGATTTAATGCTTACCACCTTCAGAGTTTTAAAGCAGCATTCAACAATGTGTATCAAAATCCATCAAACTAATAATTAGGTGCATAATCTATCTTGACATTTTATGGAGACAAGTTCGAGAGCATTTTGTGAAAAAAAAAAAACAAAAGAAAATAAAGGGACAAGCTAAGTCGATTTGTCTCATAGAATGGACAGGATAACGCGTTATTGTGGACATTGATACCGTCCAGAAAATCTGAAAAAAACCCGAGGTTATTTGTATTCCTCGGAAACCCCCGCCTACGTCACCATTCAATATTTCTTGGCCCACTATTGTGACAGGTATTGAATGGAATTGGTCGGCATTTCCAGAAATGTTAATTAGAAGAAGACGAATTGAAAGCTGTTACTAAAACAACAACTTGCACATGCATGCACCGCACAAATAATGAAATGCTGATGTTCATCACCTTTGTCGTTTCATATACTTTACTGAATTGGCATCTTTTTCCCGAAAGAGTTAATGCTTTATTTGGGAGCTAGTCTGAGCAAAAAGATGAGAACGTGGGTCGGAGCCAAAGACGTACGAGAAGTAGAATGCAAGATTTTCCAATATGAGTGGGGTAGATATGGTGGACCTGCAAGAGTGAGACTTTTGGAATATATACATGTGATGAAATATGAAATGATGATTAATTGGGATTTTAAGATATTTCATGCATTTTGATATATGGTTCTAATTTGATTGTTACCTTTTATTATCAATTGTTATTTGCATTTAATTTGAGAGTTCTAGAATGTTTTCTCTTTAATTTTAGGAAAATAATTTTAGACCCATGCATAACAAGAAACTGCAAAAACAGCTGTGAAAGCATCAAACGGATATATGGAATACATCAGATCATGAATGAAAGCTGGGAGATATATCATTATTAATATTTAGATTCCTAAAGCCAGAAGAATAGCCAAAAGGACTTTATAAGAAAGGTGGGTTTTTTTGTTTTTTGTTTTTTTGGCACATAAGAAAGCTGAGGTTTAGATTAGCCCCTTCACATCATTGTCTATCATCCTAGTCTTAATTTGTTTTACAGGTTGTGAGATTCCGTAAATGTGATGCAATTAAAATTTCTTGTTAGACCACCAATATATCATATTTGATTTACTCAGAAAAAATCTTTTGGGTAAACAACTCAGTTTATGAAATGGTAAAAATAACTAATGAGAGAGAGAGAGAACTAATAATTTCACAAAAATTAACAATTTTTGTTCAATAGATAGAACTTTCCCTTCATGAGATGACAACAACAGTGTCAAAACTAAAAACATGATAGTCAGTTTTACAAAAATTCAGCATCTTAATTCAAAAGTGTTAATGAATTCTCAACTTTGATTTAACAAATAACAATTTTCATTTTCTAAAATGACAACAACAACTAAAGTAGTGAAATAATTATTTCTTTCTTTGTTTTTTTTTTTTTATACGCAACAAAGAACTACACAAAATTAGACATAAGATCTAGATTCCTTCTTGAGCACTGGTCGGATGTCCTCCACGGGGGACTCAAAGGAGACCAATCCAGGAGCCACCTGGAGGGCCTTCTTAGCTAGGATACCAGCAACCATATTAGACTCTCTTTTGTAGGTTTTCACAATCGCAGTCCATTCTCTGCTCAAAAGAGGGAGATCTCTCTTAAAACGGGCTCATTGTCATTTAGAATCCGCGCGCCCGTTTTGATCCAATCCACAGCCTCCTGACAATTTCTTACTAGTACCAGTCGTCGAAATCCATAATCCCATGCAATCTTCAGCCAGCAAGTGATGACCCATAATTCTGCCATGGCGCTACTTATCATCCCAGCGTTTATCATGAACACACGAAGAATGTGACCTTGATGGTCCCTGAAGACTCCTCCGCACGCCGCCCCCCCTAAATAGCTTGCTTCGATCACCGTCAACATTGACCTTGACCCATCCTTCTCCCGCCGCTACCCATCCATTTCTACCATCTCCATCCTTGAGTTTTGTGTCACGTCTTATTAATTTTAATCTTGAAAATAGGGAATATATAATAGACTGAGGGCCAAATAGCATAGTAGATAGATAGAGAATAACTTTTAAATTGAAACCTGACCAGGAATCGGACTGTCATTTTTAAAATATAATAAAGGGTCTAGAATAGTGTTTGAGGCCTAAAAGATGAAAATAGCATGAAAATAATTTATTTTGGAATTTTTTGTAATTCCATGAAATTTTGGCTAATTAAGAAAAAATTGGCCGAATTGAATTATATAAAATATATGAAGCCTCAATAATTTATAAAAAATATAAAAAATTATTTGAGAGGTTATTATGAATTTTAAAATTGTTCCTAGCCCCTGGAAACGCAGAGATTAGCTTTAAAATATTTAAAGTTGAATTATATTAGTAAAAAGCTGATTTGGGAAAAATTTTAATCCACAAGGCGAAAACGCTACGTCGCATCCGCCATAGGTCGCGACCCTACCAGCGATTGGAACGTCACGGTTGGCGAAAATGATGTCATGGTCTCTAAGCACTTGATGAGCCATTGAAGGGGAGGACACGACGATGCCATGTTCGGTTCCGAGTCGAAGCGAGAAGATGGGACCGTAGGTTTGAGCCAAAGTGGTGAGTATTTGGGAAGCTCAAAATTGAGGGGGAGTAGATTGCCGATCAAGGGGAGGCCTGGTGGACCTGGAGGTGTTTTGCAATGGTCGTGTCTGATAAAGTAGATTCATGCATACCAAGAAATTGTGAAAATTCCCCAGAAAGCAAGAAACACAACTGTGAAAGTATCAAACTGGTTTATATCATCCTAGTCTGCTTTGTTTTACTGGTTGTGAGAGATTCGGTGCACGAGATGCAATTAATTAAAATTATTTTTTAAATAATTTAATCAGAATAAATATATAATGTGTGTGTGTCTAAATACGCGAGTGAAGACACAGTTTCCCTCAAGATATTTGTTTTAATCTCTAAATTTTAGTACTCCTCCGGTCTTTAATATAAGATCTATTTAACTAATTTGATTATATTAAGAAAGTTAGATAAATTAATTAATTATAAAACATATGACATGTTTTTTCTAAAACATCATAATTATCTTTATTAATATCCCCCCTCCTTCACTTGCTTGATTATGATTGAGGGAGTATCTATGAGGGTAATTTAGGAAAAACTGATAAATATGAGAATGTCTCATATTTAAGACTAAAATTAACTTAACAATTGTGTCCTATATTAAGGACTAGAGAAGTATTTGATTTCATCCTTACCATCTTCAAAGTTTTAAAGTAGCATTCAACAATGTGTATCAAAATCCATCAAACTAATAATTAGGTACGTAATCTATCTCGAGATTTTCTGGAGACAGGTTCGAGAGCATTTTGTGAAAAAAAAAAAAAAGAATAAAGGGGCAAGTCGATTTGTCTTATAAATGGATGGGATGATGCGTGATTGTGTCCGTTGATACCGTCCAGAAACTGACAGATATTACATGGAATTGGTCGGAAGCAGACGAATTGAAAGCTGTCTCTAAAAGGACGAAAATGTGGTTGCGCGCCCACTTGCACCATGCATGCACCACAAATGATCAAATACTGATGTTCATGCATCACCAAAAAAAGAAAAAGAGAAAAAAGAAGATACTGATATTCATGTTCATCACCTTTCGTTAATTCATGTGCTTTACTGAATTGGCATCCCCTGCCCCCCCCCCCCAAGAGTTAATGTTTTATTTGGGAACTAGTCTGAGCAAAAAAAGTGAGACTGTGGGTTGGAGCCAAAGATAATGAGTAGAATACAAGATTTATCTTTTTGAGTCGGGTAGATATGATGGACCTGCAAGAGTGTGAGACTTTTGGAATGTATATATACCTCTAATGAAATATGAAATGATGATTAATTAGGATTTTCAGACATTTCGGGCATTTAGCATTGATAGGGATATTTGATTTTGATTTGGTTCTTATCTTTTATTATTAATTGTTATTTGCATTTAGTTTTAGAATTCTAAAATGTTTTATCTTTAATTTAAGGAAAATAATGATTATGAGTTGAATGTTGAATATTTCTTCCATTTGAGTTTCTCTTCCCTTTTTTCAGGTTGTGAGTGATTCCGTAAATGTGATGCAATTAAAATTTCTTTTTAGACCACCACTATAATATATATGATTTACTGAGAAAAACTCTTGTGCGTAAAAAAATCTTGTGGGCATGTAAAAAACTTTCAAGTTTATGAAATGACAACAATAACTAATGAGAGAATGAGAACTAATTTCACAAAAATTAACAATTTTTGTTTAATAGATACAACTTTCACTTTATGAGATGACAGTAGTGTAAAAACTAAAAGAGTAAATCGGTTTTACAAAAATTCAGTTTCTCAAGTCAAAAGTATTAATGAATTCTCAAGACCAGATGAATGACAACTTTGATTTAACAAATAATATTTTTCATTTTGTGAAATAACAACAACAATTAAAGTAGTGAAAAAGTTATTTCACACACACACATATCTTAAAACTTAGAAGTTATCTTATGTAATATATTGTACCATATGATTAAGAAGTTTTAGTGGCAGTGTGGTCATATAGCCTTAAAGGGGTAGGATCACATCCTGCCATGACCACTGATTCACTACTACAAAAAAGACGTATAACGTCGAGAAACAATGGCTGTTAAAATGAAAAACACCGTGAAAAAAAAGACGGTGGTATTCTTGTAAATAAATAGTATGACTGTTAACTTTTCATGATGGTTATTAAGATAACTGCCGTGAAAAGTACTTTTAACAGTGGTTAAACATTTTACTCACCATTAAAAGTATTTTCCAAATAACCACTATTAAAAGTACTTTCCAAATAACCGCCCATAAAATGTTTAACTGTCGTTAAAAGTACTTTCCACGGCGGTTATCTTAATAATCACCGTGGAAAGTTTTAAACATAACCCTATCACTAGTTCTATTTTTCACAGTTTCATAGTTTCACAGTTAGTGCGCTGTGGTCCCCCTTTGTTCCACCACCGAAACTACAATACAGGCAAATCCCCATTGTTTCCTGCTGTTTTTGGTCCTCCATTTTACTCGTGGTTGTTTTTCACTGTCTTTCGCCACCCACTGTTGCCTCTTCTCGCGTTTTAGTTGTCTTTATTGAGTTAATTTCCTCTTCTTTTATTCTTTTTATTTTTTCTTAGTGTCTTGGATGTTTTGATAATAGAAATATGTTGTATTTCAAATGGTTTGATTGGTTTTACATTTTGGATATCTTGCATTGTTTATTTTGCGTTTCTTATATGCTTGAGGGGTTGGTTGGTGACATTTGAAGTTAGAAAACCTCAATTACTTCCTATACACGGTATTAGAAATATGTTCAAATGTTTAAAGTCGATTAGTTATTAAGTTTTTAATTTTTTTAATAATTTTTTGTTATTTTATTTTGAATTTTTGTCAAATTTTTGTAATAAACTTGAGAATTTACCAATAAATAATTTGTTAAGTGTTTTGGCCAATTTTTTTTTTCATTTGATGATAAAGTGTTGTTTAAACTTTCATGAGAAATGGATATCATTTGTGTTCTCGTTTTGGATTCAGAAGTTTTAGCTTTAAGAATCTTTATTCATTGAATTGGTTTGAGATTGAATTGTTACTTTTGTTTTGTTAGTTATAGTTCTTCAAATTTATCTTGTATTTGTTTACTGTTGATTGATTGATTTGTCCATTGTTTAAATAATTTGGGATTTGTTATATTTAAGGGAAAATTTTGTTGAAATTTTTATAAAATAAAAAAGATATTCCCTTTAATTTGTAATTAAGTGTTAGTCAATTTTAATTTATTGACTAACACTTAATTATTTTATTTATTTGAATATTTGAATTAAGCAGTTAGAATTGAGCTTGATAGTACAACTATGCTCATTAACTTTGTAGAACAATGGATTGTAATTGGATGAAAGCTAAGCGAATTAGCAAAGAATATGAGGATGGGGTTGAAAGATTTCTTGAATTTGCTTAAAGAAATACCCCTAGTAAAAGAGATGGCTTGTATTGTTATCCTTGTGTTAAATGCTTAAACAATAGTCAGTGGAATATTTTGAGATAAGAGAGCATGTTATCTGTGATTGGATAAATTTAAGGTATACAAATTGGATATGACATGGCGAAATTAGAAAGACTACACTGTCTGGAAAGGAGAAGGTTGTGAATGATGACTTTGGTAATAGAATTTTGGATATGCTTTTATGAAATAAGGTCTGAGTCCTTTGCACAGTTTTCTCCCACATGTGAAAGCTTATGTAGTGGTGCAGAGATGCGTAGGGTGTAAAGATGATTACACAAGTTGACAACTGTGTTGAAATTGATGACCTTGAAGGCAAAAAATGGTTGGACCGATGCTAGTTGCACAAAATTGCTCGAACTATTGAGTGATATTCTTTCAAAAGGGAGTTCGCTTCCCAAGGAATGTATGAGGCAAAGAAAATTTTATGTCCAATGGGTTTGGAATATGAGAAGATACATACGTGCCCTAATGACTACATATTATTCAGAAATGAGTATGAAGGATTGAATAAGTGCCCTAAATGTGGCACTTCAAGATACAAAGTCAAGAAAGGCGGTGGTGATTATAATGAGATGACCAAAGGTCCTCCTTTGAAGGTATTGTAGTATCTTCCAATAATACCACGGTTTAAGTATTTATTTGCTAATGTCACAAAAGCAAAGAACTTGAGATGGCATTCCAATAAGAAAATATCTGATAGAAAACTTTGTCACCCCACAGATTCTCCTTAGTGGAAAGCAATAGATTAAAAATTTTCTTAATTCGGTAGTGAGCCAAGAAATCTTTGGTTAGGACTCTATACGGATGGAATTAATCTATATGGTAATCTTAGTAACACACATAATGCTTGGCCAGTTCGCCTAATAATTTACAACTTGCCTTCTTGATTGTGTATAAAAAGAAAGTATATCATATTATCTTTGACGATCTCGGGGCTAAAACAGCTAGGAAATGATATCAATGTGTATTTGGCACCTTTGATTGAGGACTTGAAGAAATTATGAGAGGAAGGTGTTGACATGTTTGATGCATCTAAACAAGAGACCTTCAATTTATGTGCCATGATATTCACCACGATAAATGACTTTCCGGCTTATGAAAATTTGTCAGAATATAGTGTTAAGGGACATAAAGTATGTCCGATATGTGAAAAAGGAACTTACTACATGCAACTCAAACATAAAAGGAAGATGGTCTACTTTGGTCACAAAAGGTTTCTTAGTCAACACCACCCTTACTGTAGGTTGAAGAAGACATTTAACGACTTACAAGAGTATTAAATGGCTCCAATACTATTAATTGGAGAAGATGTTTATCAACAGGTAGAAGGAGTTAATGTGATCTTCGGTAAAACAAAAAAGAAGAAGAAGAAGACTGCTAGTAAGAGGAATATATAGAAAAAAAGATCGATCTTTTTTATCTTCCATATTGGCAAAGTTTTGATGTGAGGTATAGTCTAGATGTGATGCATATAGAGAAAAATGTGTGTGAGAGCCTTGTTGGTACTTTTTTGCACATAAGTGGAAAGATTAATGATGGAATCAATGCAAGACAGGACTTAGTCAAAATTGGAATAAGAAAACTCCTCCACCCACAAGAAAGAGAGGGTAAGAGAGCTTATTTATATCTAGCTGTGCACACATTATCAAAGGAAGAGAAAACAAGTTTTTGTGGTTTTTTAAATAGCATTAAGGTGTCATAAGGTTATTCTTCTAATTTGAGGAAGCTTGTTTTAATGTAATATTTGAAGATAACGGGGATGAAATCTCATGAT